CGTTGGAAGCACTGTCTGACGCGTCTGCCTCCGCGACCCGAAAGGAGAAGCGGCCATGGAAGATGAAGATGAAGTAGAGATTCTTCAATCGTCATCTTCCTTGACCCCTTCTCCTGTCAGGTCGTGGACCTGAGCTTTAACATAACCAACTAAAAGAACACGGTTTTATTAGTTTTTCCGACTTCGAATGCTGCCCCAGTTTCAAAACCCAGTTCATTCTCTTTGCTCCACTGATTTTGTTGTACATTTGCTTGTTTATCCCGATACAGTATGGCTGCCTCGTGCGTTTCTCTACCGTACTACATTACTGCATACTGTATCTTTATGTTGTGAGAAAGTTCCCTGATGATGGCTTCTGTACCGAAAGCGGGAACTTCGCAATAAAATGAAGGAGTATCTGATGGCAAGACAAAAGCCATTTGCTTTAAAATAAAAGTCATGTGATTTACAACCTTTGCGTGTATTCACGCGTGATATTCGAGATATATGTGAACTTTCTGGATTCACCAAAACTTGTTCGTACGCTCGATTGCTACAGATAGCGAATGATCACTTGAGGACCAGATTTTATGGCGTACATCCGCGACTTTATTAAACCGCAGGTGTTCCAATACCATGGGCAACTTGGAGAGGTGTGAAAGCTGGTCTTATAGGAATCATTCGTTATTTAAACTGTGCGTAATATTATATGTCAGCTTCGAAAATCAGAGCATATGCTGTGCACGTTATTTGCAGTAGCGGTTATCGCTAGCAGACTATTTTTCCACAAGCTATGCAACTCACTGCTTCAAAATATCAAACAAATGGTTAATAACCAAAGCCAAAAACAAAAAATGTAGTGTAATAATCCTAATATGCGATAAGTGAGTTCAAAGCACGTAAATGAGAATGAGGAGATTGCTTTGAGAATATTCAAACTGATCCATTCTGCGTTTTCTAGAGTCAAGTTCATTTCCTCATCAACAGTCACCCTTCTGTCTAACTACTTCCAGCCATTAAGCTTCTGATACTACTAAAGTGTAGTGCCAATTCACCCACAAAACTAGAAATCAGATAGGTCCTTAAAACGAAAAAGGCCTATGCTGCATATCCAACTCCTCGAAGTTAATCAAGCGAAAGGAATGGAAAGTTCCACGCTATCCCACTGTCCAACAACCAATCACTGCAGGTTTTCCAACACTTTTGAGCCATTGCCTACCTACCTTGATCGTCCCTCCCCCCAGTGTTCAGAAGCAAGAAGGCGGTGTGCCTGTGCCGAGTAAGTCTGATCAAATGAATTGGCTTTTTGATTTACCGGCGGAATTGAAAAGCTGCCATACATGATAACTAGTCCGTAATAGGATTTTCTGTAGCTTATATGCCTAACATATTGCAACTCATAATTAACCTCGGTTTTGTTTGACTACTTGAGGGGGCAAGAACAACTATAATTGAGTATGTCTTCGAATTGTGAGCAGTGGAACAATCCTCAGGCACGCGGGTAACCTGGGATGTAAGCAGAAATAATGACGAATGCAAAGTGGCCCATAATGTAGTGGCAACATTAAAGGATAAGGAATTCAGCCATTAGAAAGTTGGCCAGAAAGCGCCACAAGCTCTAACGATAGCGTTTCGATGAAGCACGAGCATTTCACTGCAGCATGGGCACATTGGCAAGGTTTCTCGAGACTCAGTCGAGATGCTCTCATTTAACTCACTGCTATCTGCCACTTTAAGTCTTTCGATGAACGGAAAATTTTGGACTCCAAAGTAATAGTTCAATCAAAGGTTATAATTTTCAGTTTTCGCTCATAAATATGAAACGCTCTTAAATAGCTGCTCGTTGCCTCATTGCATTTTGTTTTACATTCTATTCCAATTATGTTCTGATGTACATCAGGTCCTGTTTTGCACAGTTTAGGTCTTTTGGTTTGTTTAATCTGAACTACTATAGACTTCTTTGTTCATCTGACAATTTCTGTGTCTGCCTTGATTATACCAGATTCTTTAGTGGTGTTACTCTTCTTGAAGCATAGTTTTAAGCCGATGCATCTGTCATTTGTAATTCTTTTTGAGGACTTACAGGAAAACGGAAGAGCAGAAACGACTTATTGAAAGGAAGCGGAACGATGGGTTCCCTCACCCTTGTGATTCATCGAACAAAGTTTGTTTGTAAAAGGAAATCTCATTTTCTAATGCACTGGCTTTTCGACTTATATCCATTCTGTTCAATCACATCCTTTGATCTTTATGACAGAAATTACTTCTAAAACTAAAAAAACGGAAAACAAAGGACAGAACTACTGATTTAGCGTTTTTAGTTCTATTATTTAGTTTGCTCGAGTAGTTATTTTTTCTTTCGCACGGTAGTTCATTAATTCGTTAGCTCGTTCACGCAGTTCTTCAGCAAACGCTCTTGCACTCGTTTACCTCAATTTCTTTTTTGTCGCTAAATTCCATAGTCAGGAACTATTTTTAATGGCTTTGGTCTAATGGTTACGTCGTGTCAGAAAGTTCCATTAACTGTTCAATATGCTCTTTAATCTGGCTCTTGATCGTCCGACATCCGGCACAGGCTTCAAGAAAATAGTCCGCTGTTTTCAGACTATTTTTTTGGTACAGTTATTCAAAGTGTTAAGCTTCTCAGTTGATGGCGATTCGCTAAAGATGGGGAATCCACGAGATCTAAGGTCATATTTTTCGACCAAAGAAAGTGGTTGGCGCAATTTATTGTATTACGTCATAAGTCACGTGATCAATGACTCCACTTCCAGATTAAGCTAAATACAATATTTAAGTACAAAAAAGTACACAACGATCGCAACAACGTTCATACACTCTGTACTGTAAAAATGAGTGTTGTGTAACGCAATAGGGAGATTAACATATAAATCACAATATGATATAATCATTGGCTTGACAGTGCTTTGATAAAAAAAACAGTTTCTGTATAAATTTATTACATTATTATTCAACAATGAAATGCGTTGTAGTCGTAACAGAAACGTCTGAATTGCCACAACTACGATAAACTGTATTTTCATCGACT